GCTGTTTGTATGCCCTCAGTCTTTGAGAAGTACCTCTACTTCCACAAGGCGCCCAACAAGAAGGAATTCCATGAGGAGACTTGTCGTAAGGTATGGTGGGGTTCGTAGGGGTCTAAATCGGTGCTGGTGCCGCAAGATCAAGGCGCTGGGCGTCATGACGGTGCTGTCGGGGGAGGGCAAGGATGAGGGGAGACGTGCCACAAGGTGTGTGCTGCGGTTCATAGGGGTCTGAAATGGCGCTGGGCGTGAAGATGGTGTGCTCTCAGGCGAGGTCTGATTTGGTGCTGGACCTGTGGCTGGGGCAAGAAAAGAACATAAGGGGCTGGGGTGGGGATGGGCCACTGGGTGGGCCATGGAAATCGCCTCCTACTACCCTCTCACTTCCCACCCTCTTTCTCCTCGCCCTCGAACCCCACACACTCTCTCCCCACTATCTCTCACCCCCTACTCCCCCCCTTCCTCCTATCCCCTCATTCCAGCTGAAGGCCCTGCACCAGTTTGACTGCCTGCGCGCCAACAAAGCCACCATGGCATGGGGGCTAGAGGCTGGGCTGGGCTGAGGCCACCTGGTTACAGTAGCGCATGCTGCACAATCCCCATTCTTCTCCTTCCCCCTCCCCCTTTTCCCCCTCCTCTGATCCAGCTGAAGGCGCTGCATCAGTTTGACTGCCTGCGAGCCAACAAGGCCACCATGGCATGGGGGCTAGAGGCTGGGCTAGGCTGAGGCCACCTGGTTACAGTAGCGCATGCTGCACAATCCCCATTCTTCTCCTTCCCCCTCCCCCTTTTCCCCCTCCTCTGATCCAGCTGAAGGCGCTGCATCAGTTTGACTGCCTGCGAGCCAACAAGCCACCATGGCATGGGGGCTGGGGACGAGGGAGATACCAGCTGCCTGTGCTCCACACCACAATTTCTATCCGATTCTCTCTCCCCTCCTCCCTCCTACCCTCCCCTGCTGCAGCTGAAGGCGCTGCATCAGTTTGACTGTCTGCGCGCCAACAAGGCCACCATGGCATGGGGGCTGGAGGCGCGAGTGCCCTTCCTCGACAAAGGGTTTCTCGACGTTGCTATGAGCATCGACCCGGAAGCCAAGATGGTGGGTGGATTGCCAGTGTTCAGTCTGCATCTTGTCCTCCTGTCACTGCTGTAGAATGTGGGTGTGGGCCATGGCATGGGGACTCGAGGCGCTAGTGCCTTTCCTCGACGAGTTCCTGGACGTCGCTATGAGCATCGACCCTGAGGCCAAGATGGTACGCTCAAGAGGAGTCGCCATGAGCATCAGATCAACCCCACCCTTGCCTCCCTTCTTCCCTCCCTCCCTCCCTCCCGCCCCTCCCTCCTCTCCCTCTTCCCTTCCGTCCGACCTCCCCCCTGTCTCTTGCCATCATGCTCAGATCAAGCCCAAGGAGGGGCACATTGAGAAGTACATTATTCGCAAGGCCTTTGACGACCCCAAGAACCCCTACCTGCCTCATGTGAGCACACTCACTCCCACCTTTGGGTAATCACATCCCCCCTTCCCTCACATAAGCATTCCTCCATATAGTGAGGAATTAGTTCATGTTCATACGTGCCAATTGAAGCCTAGATGAGGAAATAGTCCATACACCAGAAACGAGTTTATTAGACACTGAAAGCTGGTGCCACCTACCCAATCATAACCGACTCCCTTCCTCCTCTTTCCACATTTACACTTGTCTCTCTGTTGCGTCCCGTTCGCCTCCCCTTTTGCTCCTCCCCTCTTTCACCCCCACCCTGGCTGCAGCACATCCTGTACCGTCGGAGGAAGCAGTTCAGTGACTTGTGTGGGATATCGCTGGTGCATCCTTCTCCCTTTCCCCCTCTCCATACCCTTTGGATCCCCGTTTGCAGCACATCCTGTACTGCCAGAACGAGCAGTTTCAGTGACAGCTTGGGATACAGCTGAAACAGCAGTCATGCAATGTTCCCTTCCTGTCATCCTCCCATCCCTGCATCCCCGTTTGCAGCACATCCTGTACCGGCAGAAGGAGCAGTTCTCTGACGGGGTGGGCTACAGCTGGATCGACGGGCTGAAGGCGCATGCGGAGAACATGGTGTCGGATCAGATGCTCGCCCTTCCCTCCCTTCACCCGTAATCATGGTGTCGGATCAGATGCTCGCCCTTCCCTCCCTTCACCCGTAATCATGGTGTCGGATCAGATGCTCGCCAACGCGCCCAACATGTTCCCCTTTCTCCTCCTATTCCTCCCGTCCCCCTTATCAGCATATTCTTTACAGGCAGAAGGAGCAGTTCAGTGACGGAGTGGGCTACAGCTGGATCGACGGCCTCAAAGCGCATGCGGAGAACATGGTGTCGGATCAGATGCTCGCCAATGCGCCCAACATGTTCCTCCTGCTATCCTCTCCCTCCTCCTTCCCTCCCCTCCCCTCTCCCTCCTCCTTCCCTCACCTCCCCTCTCCCTCCTCCTTCCCTCCCCTCCCCTCTCCCTCCTCTCTCCATCCCCCTTCCCCTGCCCACTTACCGCAGCACATCCTGTACCGGCAGAAGGAGCAGTTCTCTGACGGGGTGGGGTACAGCTGGATCGACGGGCTGAAGGCGCATGCGGAGAACATGGTGTCGGATCAGATGCTCGCCAACGCACCCAACATGTTCCCCATCAACACGCCCCACACCAAGGAGGCCTTCTTCTACCGCATGACCTTCGAGAAACATTTCCCCCAGGTAACACCTTCCCCCAGTAACACCTTCTCTCAAATAACACCTCTCTCCAGGACCCAGGAAACACCTCCCCCAGGTAATTCCTTCCTCCAAGATAACACCTCCCCCTGGTAACAAATGTTCTCTGGTTTTCAAGAATGGCATTGTGTTGCTTGTGTGCTCGCCTAACGGTGCCGTGGGAAGCCAGTGTTGTGTGCAGCACAGCCGCTGCAGCAAAGTGGGACGCGGCCTGGGCCAACAACATCGACCCCTCTCCCTGCATCCCTCGTTCATGCTTCTTCCTTCACCCCCTCTCACCCCCACTTCCCCGCCCGCTTTCTGATCCGCTCGGCTGTGTGCTCGCCTGACGGTGCCGTGGGGAGTTATTGTGGCGTGCAGCACAGGGGTTGCAGCCAAGTGGGATGCTGCACATTGAATTCCCTCCCTTCCTCACTCATTCACACCTTTTTGTCCTCCCCTTTCCCGCGCTCTCCCCAATCTCAGCTGTGTGCTCGCCTTACGATGCCGTGGGGAAAAAGTGTAGCATGCAGCACAGCCGCTGCAGCCGAGTGGGGCGCGGCCTGGGCCAACAACATCGACCCCTCTGGCAGGGCTGCTCTGGGCGTGCACAATGCGTCTTATGAGGGCAAGGATGGGGATGCGGCACATCAATTGACCCCCCTCGCTTCTTCACTCTCTCGATTTTTGGTCGCCTCCCTCTCCCCTCCCTCCTGCCTGCCGATTGTCCCCATGTGTGCAGCTGTGTGCTCGCCTTACGGTGCCATGGGGAAAAAGTGTAGCGTGCAGCACAGCCGCTGCAGCCGAGTGGGACGCGGCCTGGGCCAACAACATCGACCCCTCTGGCAGGGCTGCTCTGGGCGTGCACAACGCGTCGTATGAGGGCAAGGAGGAGGAGAACGGGGAGAAGAAGGCTGAGGGAGAGAAGGCGGACGGGAAGGAGAATGGTAAGGAGAATGGGGATGCCAAGGAGGAGGAGCCTGCTGCTAAGAAGGCCAAGACGGATGCTTGAAAATCGTGCTTGGAGTAATTGCTGCAGTGCTGGATTGAGGCTTTCTGAGTTGCTCGGTAACTAAAGATATACTGATGGTGCTGGAAGCGCACCTATATGCTTATCTGTAGGTGTTAAAAGCGTGGTTTGTTTTAAGTTTTTGAAGTGCTACAATGTTGAAATACGGGTAGTGATTGGTTGATTTACTGTCTGTTCGGAAGTGTATTCTTATTTACATTTACCGTCACGCTTTCTATCCGAATCGCTCAACTGCAGCAGGTTCGTCCTGGTTCTAACGAAGACTGCGCGACGTAACCACCGACAGCAGAGAGGTGCCCCGAATATTTGGTTTCGTGGAGGAAAGCCAGGATTCCCGCTTCTCGGGCGAAACACTGATTTCGCAAATGCCCTCGTTGATTCCACCCAGCACCAGCACCTGGTGCGCGGCGCGAAGTGGAAATTCCAGCAAATGCGAAATCCCACGTTCGCCATTTCCGCGAGCAGTCTTCTTTGCTGGCGTGGCCGCGGGGAAACGTAAATTTTGCGCGACCATGAGTGAGTGACAAAACGGATATGCCCACACACCCCACCCACACCCCCCATCCTGGCCATCTGCCTAGGGTTCCTGAATCCTAAGCAGCTCAGCAGGGGTCTGCTGCACACTGTAGTAGAGCGGAGCGCGCAGCGCTGTCAGGGGACGAGCACTATCTTACCCAGCAGACAAACACTATCGTACGAAGAGTACGGTTGGCTGGCGTGGCGGCGGTGGTGTGATGTGAACGAAGCGCAATGAAAGTGCTGTGGTGTGCTACCGAATCAAGATTGTGACGGCATGACCACTGACCGAACGACGTATTTGCTCTCTGCTCCCTCCCTTCCCTCTCCCTTAGCGAAGTTGCGACTGCCCAGTCTTTTTCTGACAGCCGTCCAATCAGCTGAGCGCGTTATTCCTGGTATCTTCTTTGAAACATCGGAACCAGAAGCTTGTTGCTTACAGTCCGACGCTAGAGAGTCTGGAGTTTAGCGGCCCTCTTCATCGCTATATCTGTAGTTCATTCAACGGATTCCAAAAGCGGAGGCGCTTCAAAATCTCTTCAAGAGTATCGCGAATTGAAATTAGTAGTCTTACGAAACTCCAGAAAGTGTAGTAGACCTTTCAGCCTCGCTTTTGAGTCGACTCAAAAGTCATAACCGTAGAAACGCGCGCATTCGCGGCTAAGCCGGAGTTACATCTGAGGATTCTCACAAGCGAAACCGTTCGATTTCATTCCAGTCCAATTTCGGTCGACCGTGATGACCTCAGCGACCGCCATGTCCGGCGACTCCGCGTCGCCTCCCGCGTCGGCTCCCGGATCGGCTCCTTCCCTATTGTCCCTCACACATTCTAATACCACACGCTTCACGCAAATACCACCCCAATGCGACGCTACCACACATTCCCCTCAAGACGGGCCCGGCACCCCACCACCACCGCGACTAGCGCGACTTCTCGCGCGGGGTGCTGCCATTGGAGCCGTGGCCCTCGTTTTGCTCGTCGGCATCCTTGCCACGTGTCATGCTGTGGGAAGCGAGTCCCACCGCTACTACCCGGCGCGCTCGCCCGTGTCGCCGAGCTTTTCGCGTAGGTCGCTGGCAGCAGGAGGAGGCGGTGCCGCGTCTGGTTCGGGCGGGAAGTTAACTCCGGGATTTGTGGCGAATATCACGGCGGGAGTGAAGGTGGTGATTGCGAGGGTGTACGCGATAAAGAAGGGCCGCGCTAAAACGAAGATGACGGATTCCTGCGCCAACGACTGCGTTTCTCTGGTGCGTTTCACCAGCTAAGTGAAAGCCTTTCTGAGAAAGAAGAAGAAGTAGAAGAAGAACGAGATACACGATATCCTTCCATTGCCTATGCCTCTGTATGCTAGTAGCTTAGCCGCTTCAAGCTTGCATTAACCCAGAAAACTTGCTCTGCGTTCCCTAATTCCTTACTCAAAGCTTCAGCCCCTCCCATTAACCTCTCTGATTCCCCCTTTCCCCTTTTCAGATGGCCACCGCGTTGGATCATCCAACCAGCGAATCGCAGGGAAAGGCGCTAGAGGCGCGCAGCAGCGCAAAGGACATGGTTGTTTACCTTAACCCTCCTTTTTCCCTTTTCTCCCCATTCATCCACCTCATCTGGCCACCGCGTTGGATCAACTTGCCCGCGTGTCCACGGCGCTAAACGCTGAGAGCAGCGCGAGGGACGTGGTCCGCTAGCCTAACCCCTCTCTCCTTTCTCCTCCCCCCTTTACTCCCATTCATCCGCCTCAGGTGGCCACCGCATTGGATCAACTAGCCCACGTGTCAACGGCGCTCAAGATGCACAGCGGCGCAAAGAACGCACTCTCCGTCTCCTCCCCTAACCCCCTCCGACTTCTCCCGTTGCTCCACAATTCTTTCTTTCTCCGCTCAGATGGCCACCGCATTGGATCAACTAGCCCACGTGTCAACGGCGCTCAAGACACACAGCGGCACGAGTGACGTGCCATACTCACTGACAGCGGCACAGGACCAGGTGACCACGTGCCTGGACGGCTTTCGCGAGTTCTCCCCGTCAACGCTCACCACGCCAGCAGGGAAATCGCTGCAGGTGGGCTCTCAATCCAAACCATGCGGAGAGAAATGAGCTGGTTGCTAGCTTGACTTTGAGACGTCTCACAAGTTGGGAAATCGCTGCAGGTGAGCGAGTCTCAATGCACTCCATGCGTAGAGAAATGAGCTGGTTGCTAGCTTGGCTGGCAGCGGCGCAGGACCAGGTGACCACGTGCCTGGACGGGTTCCGAGAGTTCTCCCCTGCCACTCTCAGCACGCCAGCTGGAAAGTCACTCCAGGTGAGACTCGATGCACTCAAGGCGTGTTGTAGCAATGGCAGAAATGCGGAACTGACTTGGCTGACAGCGGCACAGGACCAGGTGACCACGTGTCTGGACGGGTTCAGAGAGTTCTCCCCTGCCACTCTCAGCACTTCAGCCGGAAAGCCCCTCCAGGTGAAACTATATGCACTCAGGGCGTGCAGCAACTTCAAAAGCGTGCTGGTTTGGCTGACAGTGGCGCAGGACCATGTGAGGACGCGTCACCTCTGCCGATTTTGCGAGATTGATTGTGCAAAATCAATCCTCTACCGCACTGAAAGCCCGCTCATTGCGCCTAGAGATTTCTCCCCGCCACTCTCAGCACACCAGCCGGAAAGTCACTCCAGGCGAGAATCATTGGTGCAGCAACTTACGAAGCACGTGCTTATTTGGCCGACGGTGCCACAGGACCACGTTACCACATGCCTGGACGGGTTAGAGTCTAGAGAATGCTCTCCATAGGCGCTCTGCTGGTGTCCAGTTCCCTCACATGCCTCCTCCTGTGCTGTGTTATTTTGTCTGCCTGCTTGCTTGCCCTCTTCCCCATACCAGGCACAAGGAAGACAAGTCAAGAAATCTCTGGACAGGGCAATCAAATTGTCGCTTCACCCTGCATGACTATTGAAGCAATGTGTGCATAGGAGAAGGGCCTACTTCATGATTGATGACGATAATGATTGCTTGGGTTTCTACCTGTGGCTTATGCAACCCAAGGGAACTGAAGGACCAACAAGGATATCAAAAGCTTTTTTTTTGGGTTGCGAAGCAACCTATTACAATCGTTATGTACAATTTTTTTTTCATCGTTATGAAAAAAAAATAGCGAATCGTGGCTAAGTGATTCAGTGCTGTGTATTTGCCACGACAATTTAGCACGTGCCGTACCACATTCTTTCACATTTCCTAGGTAGTTCGCCTTGACTGGTAACCTATACTTTATCGATGAAACATAAACATGACTTGCCAAAATGATGTACCGTAACTGTGAATGCGTGACCGTTTATTCGGTAATGCATATGCCGTAAAAAATAATGTATAGATGAAGTATAATGATGATTGAGTGCAAAATGCATAAATATACATGCATATACGACTGTGGTGAATATACATGTGCTCTGTTTATTTCGGTATAGGTCCGGTGCAGTGAAATGAATGCATGGCATGATGGAAATGCGTGACAGTTAATTGACCCAGACCTTATGCTACCGCATCCCCTGCCTAGCATGGGGGGGAAGTCGATAGCATAGTTCCTGAATCATCCAACTGTTACATGAAACAACACAATCTGTGTAAACTAAAAAAATGATCAAAATCCATCAAATCCAGTTCAAGTGAACACACTCACTGAGTGGGCAAAGAACCTTCTCGGAAATGATAGCTTGACCATTTTTTTAAAATCCACAGATACGCATTGTTAATGCAATAGCAGGTGGATATGTATGAATATGCACACAGAGACACATACGCACACACGCACATACCGATATGCACACACAAAGACGAGTCACAATCAGAAAATGAACCTAAAAGAAATCTAACATAACAATGCAGTAGCATCAATCATTAACATTTCAAACAAAAATCAAACAAAATCCTTTTAATTTCCACATTAGCCTCCGAACGTTATAGCGAAGACCCTGGGAGGGAAACGGGGGGAAACGTAGTGGGAAGGGAAAGGAACGGGGCAGAAGGGGCAGAAAAAAGGACGGAGGCAGAGACACATTAGAGAACTACGATACGACGGAATTACAGGATTTGAAACGTAGGCAGGTGGGGAAGAGAAGTACAAAGGAGAATAACGAATAAAAATACCAGATGTGATAATAACCGCATAGAGGAAACGCAATAATCTGGGCAAGGAAAGAAGAAAACATAAATGAGCTCGTATATAGTAGCGTTTTGATAGATACATAAACGAGCGAAAGAGTTTGACAGAGAGACAGAGAGAGAGAGAGAGAGAGAGAGAGAGAGAGAGAGAGAGAGAGAGAGAGAGAGAGAGAGAGAGAGAGAGAGAGAGAGACTTCAATAAACTATGGCTTCTCAAAAAACATTCGTAGACTTATGAAAGACATATTCAAAAACCGCACGAAGGTAGGAGTGGAACCAATACGGAAGGAAGATAACATGCAATACGAGGACTATACGCGAGATGCGAGGAGAAGAAACATTGCAAGAAATGAGACAAAAAGAGCCTGTAAGTATGACAGAAAAAAACACACACACACACACATAACTACGAGAAGATGGGGCACAGATACTAGAAAAACCGAAAGAAGAGCGTCTAAGCTGATAAGAATAAAAAGGAAGGAGGAAAACGACATGATAGAGAAATGAGAGGATAGTTCTAGGAGTTAAGAGCGTGAGCAGCACAGTTGGACTTACGGGAGAAGACACATTATTTAAGAACGACCTAACGGTTCCGTCGAAATGGACGATATCCTTAAAAACGATTAAGTTTCTAGATAACTTAGAACTTACTGGTTCAAATTAGAGAAAAGAACATGAACGAAACTGCTCCTAATATTTTCTTGAAGTCTAAAAAGAACTAGCAGACGTTAGTACGTACGCTAGTCCTTAAATTCTTACCTAGTAAGTATATGACTGCTGCAGTCGTAGGAGGAGCGGGAGTTGAGGGAGACGCGGGAGGAAACTAGGGCATTGACGATCCAGAAAGAGACGAAATGTTGGGAAAGGAATTCAATTTTCGGCTTCAATTAAACTGCCTGTTAAAAAATTCTCGGAAATTGAAAGTCGTTCTGTTAGCGCAGTGGTTTGAGTATCTCGTTTTAATCCAATGGTCTCGGGTTCGGTTCTTGCCGCGGCCTTCTGTATCAATGCAACATTTTCAACAGATGCTTGTTTTTAATTTGTACCTCCCGAAGTCAGTTGTGGAAGCACAGTGGTATGGATTTCGAATCAAAAGCCGTTGGTCTCCGGTTCGATTCTTGCTGCTACCTTTTCATGTCAACACAATATTGGATATGTGTCATGTCTAAGAAATCTAGGAAAGTACGTAGTAGAACAAAATATATTATTTACAAATAAGCTTCGCAACCCTATGTCGACTTGGTCGCCTCTTGTTCTCTCTAAAAACTCTTGGATCCATGAAGCTGCACCAAGGCCTGTCAATTTGTGTGGGCCATCATCTTCCCCAATTAAGTGTATGTATCCTTCCATTTACTAAGCTGGAAGTCAATATGTATCCACAGTGAGTCTGCACTTCACGGTACACTCATTTGCAGCCACACATCTATCAGCGTACTCATTAGTGAGCACAACTTAGTCCACTGCCCCCGACGCGGCACGGCGAACGCACCGCACAACCCAAAATTTTCGCTGAAATGCGCGGTCCGATTTCGACCCACATTCCCCCCCCCCCCATCAATTTGGGACAGCACAGGAGAGTTTCGAAGCAGATAGGAAAGACTTGCCTGAGCATTCGCTGCCGTTTTCTGGACGTGACTTCCGCACCAATCGCAGAGGCGAAAATGTTTCTCGAAGTGTGGTGTGCTGGAAGCATGCCTTGGTGCTCTGGTGCACCACGCCACCACACCACCCACTAGCCGAGTCCGTTTACGTGCACATGAACTTTCACAGAGGCATCGGGTTTGCACTCGGTACCCTTCCCCTCTTCCCCGACGAGAACGTCCGTACAGGAGCATCGTGATGCCAATTGTTAAAGAACCACATATGGACGAGTCTCAGTGTGCTTTGTAGAACCACCTGCTGTATTTTCCATTTCGGGAATACCTCTCCGTAAACTTGTGAGTCTTCAGTCTGCCTTGGCTTTTCGAGATCAGTAGCAACGCCGCCACCTCCTTCCCAGCCGCAAGCCATGGCGCTGGTTTCGCCGTGGACCGGCAGGCTTGCGTCGGGTGCGGCAGGCTTCGTCGCGGCTTTAATCGCCGTCCTTGCCACGTGTCACGCCGTCGACAATTACTACATCCTACGCCCGCCCGCGTTTTGCGCCGACACATACGATCCGCGCTATTGTGTGGAGCAGCTCCGCGACGTGCGGCGGAAACTCGGCGTGCTTCCCGCTCCGACGAGTGAGCTTGCGCCGGGGCTCGTCGCGAACATTACGGCGGGAATGCAGCGGGTGATGGCGAGAGTATCCGCGATAAAGAAGAGCCGCGGTACCGCAAATATGTCGGGAGCCGTGACAACCGACTGTCTCGATCTGGTACGAAATCAATTTCGAGCCTCCATCTGTCTGTTTTTTTCCCAAAAGATTCCATGTTCCTCCCTCCATTTTCCCGCCGTAACGTTGTTTCCTTGGAGTTTACGTGCGAGTTTGTATGCGTTGCAAACCAATCTCCCTCCCTGCCGCCCGTCCCCCTCCCCCTCCCTCCATCCCTCCCCCTCCTCCCCCTTGCTCGCCCCCCTTCGCCGTTTCCGCAGACCACCAACGCCTTCTATCATCTCGCCAAGGCCGCCGAGGCGCTCAAAGCGCGCACCAACGACGAGGACGTGCCGTTTTGGATCACGGCGGCGCGCGATCAGCTCGTCACGTGCCTCGACGGCATCTGGGAATTTTCCCTCGACACCTATAAGTCGCACGCAGGAAAATCGTTAGAATCCCACGGCAAGAATCTCAAGAAATCGTTCGACACCGCCATCGCCCTCGCGCTCCAATCCGTCGTGAAATCCGCGCCGAAGTCGCCCACCCCGAGCCGCGAGACTCTAGAAGGCGGCGGTCCGGGGGAGCCGCCTTCGTGGGTTGAGGCGGGGATGTACGAGCGGATCAGAGAGCTTCAGGCGCGGATGCAGGGGGATCACGCGGAAGCGCAAGCGTGGGCGGAGCGCGGGCGGAAGCTTCAGCTGGCGAAGGTGAAAAAGCTGAAGCCGAACGCGGTGGTTGGGAAAAACGAGAAGTACAAGAAGATAAACGACGCGCTAAAAGCAGCTCCGAAAACGGGGCTGTATGTTGTGTACATCAAGGCGGGGACGTATAAGGAGAAGGTTTTGGTGAACCGGGAGGGCGTGATTCTGGTGGGAGACGGCGCGACGAAGACGATTATAACGGGGAAGGACAGTGTTGCTGGTGGATTCACCACATACAACACTGCGACAGTCAGTAAGTACTACCAACTACTAGTGCTATCAGAATCTTCTTATGTCTTTGTACAGCTTTTTCCTGTAAGAGCCACCTTTGCCGCTCCTCGTTCTCAAATGGTGCATTCGTTAGACGTCTGCCCGGCCCTGTCAGTCAGTTGACCTATTCTCATCCCTATCCGAACCCCTGACACCGAATTTCCTCGTTGCCTGCCGTTGCCAATCAATCTCAGGTGTGAAGAAAAACTATTTTCAGGCAGCGGGAATCAAGTTCGAAAACACTGCTGGAATTCAGGGCAACCAAGCCGTAGCGCTAATGATCGACGCGGATAAGGCAGTCATTTACGACTGCTCCGTTACAGGCTATCAGGACACTCTCTACACTCACTCTGGCCGCCAGTACTACAGAAACAGCTTCATTTCTGGTATCACGGATTTCATTTTCGGAAATGCTGCTGCGGTCATTGACAACTGTACGATTGAGATGCGCGCGGGGAAATCGAACATTCCGATTACCGCGTCGGGCAGGGAGACCGAAACGCCCACGGGGATCGTGATTCGTTACTCGTTTGTAACAGCGGAGAAGGGTGTTACGAATGGTTACTTGGGACGCCCTTGGAAGAAATGCGCGCGTACAATCTACATCAACACATACCTTGCTAAGGTGCGCGTGTTGCATTGAAGAAACAATATGATTTGCTTATAACTGCAACTAGAAAACAATATGCAACCCTGGGTTGCATGGGAGCACTCACCGCTCAGCTAATAAATTCCAACTACCAGTTTCTGTTCACCCTCCCCCCTCCCATCCCCCCCCCCCCCCCCGCCCCCCCCAATCGCCATTCTCACTCTTCGTTCTCCTCCCTCACACCCGTCCTCGTCCCACCTCACCACCCTTACTCATCCCTCCTCATCCCTACTCATGCGTCCTCACCCCTACTCATCCCTTCTTCACCCCTCCTCATCCCCCCTGATCCGTCTTAAACCCTCCTCACCGTTTCTTACACCTCCTCGCCCGTCTCTACCCACAACAGCAAATCAACAAGGAGGGATGGAGCACGTGGAACGGCGACAACAAGGGAAAGTGCGTGTACTACGCTGAGAAGGACAGCGAGGGACCGGGAGCGTACAAGCCGCGCGCCAAATGGGTGAAGCCAGGGCAGATCCGCGATGGCAAGCCGTGGGCGCCTCAGCCGTTCATTCAGCTAGGCGATTGGTATGACGAGAAGAAGGGAGTGATCAGGTATCCTCCGAAATAAGCAATGGGGATCGAAGGGGGGGAGTCACGGGGGGAGAAAGGTGGGGGGAAGAGATACAAGCCACGGGCGAAATGGGTGAAGCCGGGGCAGGGGAGTAGGGGGCGAAGAGATGAAAGCCGCGGGCCAAATGGGTGAAGCCGGGGCAGAACCGTGATGGCAAGCCATGGGCCCCTCAGCCATTCATTCAGCTGGGCGGAAGGGTATGACAAGAAGAAGGGAGTCATCCGGTTCCCTTAGGAGGAGGGAAAGGCGTTGAGGAGAGAGGAGCTGGGAAATAAGCAGTGGAAAACGAGGGAAAGTTGGAGACAAGAGCGGGTGAGCTGGGGCAGACCTGCGATGGGAAGCCGTGGGGCAGCAGAACCGTTGATTCAGATGGCCGAGAGGTGCGATATCAAGAAGGGGGCTCATCTGCTGATACCCTTGGGAAAAAACAGACGGGAGCGAGAGGAGGGAGGGATACTACAAGCCGAGGAATGAATGGTTGAATGGGTGATGTGAATCTGGGGCAGATGGGCAGGGGCTGGATGCTTTATACTGATGGCAAGATGGCTAGTACCTAGTCGTGGGCTATAAGCAAGAAGAGACCATTGCATATTCCACTATTCAATAAAGTATTAAGTGACCAATGGGTAGAAGGGTTTTTGGTTGCAAGGGAGGGGTTCGTCATAGAATCTTTTTTTTTTGTGTGTGTGTGTACATGAGTGTAATGCAACCGCGACTTCCAACCTGACGAATTCGGCTCGTGCTTCATGCCCTTGGCTGGTGCACCCCAGAAGAGACAAGGAATAAGTGAAATATTCATTTACAATCTCATACCCCTGTGTTAGAATATATATTTATATATATTTATGTACCTGCCTGTAGCTGTAGCTTTAGTGTAGTTATAAACTCTTTGTATTGGTGGTGCACCTCCTTTGTCTCCTATTTGTACCCTCGAGCCTATAGTGAACCCCCCTTCTTTGTTTGGCCAACACTCTCTCACTAAACCCTAAGGCTCTCTCTAGCTCCTATTCTAACATGGTACAGAGCAATAATCGGTCCTAAGGACCTATTTTTTTTTAGGATCATGGGTCCCGCGTTTCGCTCTCTGCAGGCCCCACTCGATTCGCGCTCCGAAGGCATACTCGTCGCGCCCCGTGCGCCCTCCTTCCCGTCGCCCGCGGCCCCACGTTTCGGCACCCCGCGGGTCACCCGAGTCGCGCCCCGTGCGCCCTCCCGTTCGTCGCGCCCCGCTGCGCCCTGCTCTGCCTGTTCGTCGCGCCCCGTGCGCCCTCCAGTTCGTCGCGCCCCGATGCGCCCTACTCTGCCCGCGTCGCCCTGCCCGTCGTCCGCGCCAACGCCCGCACCTGCGCCAGCACTTCGCGGCCAGCGCCAGTGCGGAACGCAGCGCCAGCGCGTGCGCAAGCCGCGAAGCGCCAGCGCTGCGCCAGCCGCGAGGCGCCAGCGCCTGCGCCATCCGCGCACGCCAGCGCTTGCGCCAGCAGGGGACGCCGGCGCCGGCAGCTCCGTATGCCGCCCCCCCCCCCCCCCCCCCCGCCCTTCCCTTCCGCGGCTCCCGCCGTGGGGGGGGGGGACGGGAGTTCTGGGGGCGGAGGGTGTGAACCACCAGTAGCTCGTCCCTCCCCCACTCTCCTTCCCTCTTACTCTCTCCCTGCAGCACTTGTTGCTGTCGGGGAGAGGGGGGGGGGGGGGGAGAGATGCTAAGGGAGGGTAAGAGAGAGTGGTGGAACCAGTAGCCACGCATCTGCAGCTGCCGTCCACTGCTATGTGGCACCTACTTCTGCAGCCCCTGACGCTTCTCTCTCTTCGTTCGTCTTCTTTGCTGTTGAGCTGCAAACTAAGCGCGCCACAGCACATCGTCTTCGTTCGTCTTCTTTGCTGTTGAGCTGCAAACTAAGCGCGCCACAGCACATCGTCTTCGTTCTCTCTTTCTTGCCTCAGGGCTTGCTGCAGCTGTCTCTGCCACCACTGCACTGGTTGTCATTGCACTTGCCTCCTGTTGCTGCTTTCTCTGTTCGTGGTGTACCCATCCAGGAGTTGTTGCTGCACAAGCTCCTGCTGCAGGCAGTTATGGGGGAGTGTTAGAATATATATTTATATATATTTATGTACCTGCCTGTAGCTGTAGCTTTAGTGTAGTTATAAACTCTTTGTATTGGTGGTGCACCTCCTTTGTCTCCTATTTGTACCCTCGAGCCTATAGTGAACCCCCCTTCTTTGTTTGGCCAACACTCTCTCCCACCAAACCCTAAGGCTCTCTCTAGCTCCTATCCTAACACCCTGAGCTTGAGAAAATTACTGTGTAGATATGTTTTGTGGCGCATGGAAGCACACTATAGCTGTTCTTGTTTCTGTGACGTGGTTCGACGATCGCGGCGCATAACCCAATTTTTCGCAAATGCGCGGCCCGACTTGGGAAAGAAGAACAACTTCAAGCACATCGTTCGTCGTAGGGATTCTGATTTGGACATTCACTTACGTTCGATGGACGTGAGTTGGGCACCATCCAAGCCGCTGAGGCAAAAATGTATCCCTCGCTGCTGTGCTTGTACAGTGCTGAGCAAAAACGAAACATCCCTCGCTTCTGTGCTTGAATCATACAACGGCACGAGCCACTAGCTACAGCGCATCCACTTACGTGCACATGAACTATCACTGAGGCGTCTGGTTTTCACCTCGCCACCGACTTCTCATTCCCACTGAGAACGTTCATACGAGAGCACCGTAAGGTGAACCGATAAATACCCACGAATGGACGAGTCCCTAAGTTGTGCGTTGTATCACCAACTGGTGCCTTATCCGTTCGGGCATTACCTCCGTGTACTGGTGAGATTTCAGTCCACCTTGGCTTTCGAAAAAAATACTATCAGCAACGGCGGCGCCTCAGTCTTAGCTGCAAGCCATGGCGCTGGTTTCGCCGTGGACCGGCAGGCTTTCTAAAGGTGAAGCGGCCTTCGTCGTGGCTTTAATCGCCGCCCTTGCCACGTGTCTGTTAAACTGTTATATGTTGGTAGGCTGTAGTGGGGTAGCCAGTATGGGGTACAACCCCAACTAGGGTTAGCTACTTGTACCCAACTGTTTCATTCAATGCACCATTCTCACGCTAGTATTCTGATATGGTATTCAGAGCAGGTGGTCCCTAGGACCATCCGATCGTTTTTTTTAGGGCCCACCACCGCACGCTGCGGTTACCGCGTTACCCCCGCGCCCTACCCTCGTAGCGCCCTCGTTGCGCTCTAGCGCCCTCGTAGCGCCCTTTGTAGCGCCCTCGTGCGCCCTGCCGACCGGCGTCCTGCCAGCCCAGAGCCCCGCGCGCCTCCCCTGCTTTGCCCGTCGCGCCGCCCGCTCTGCCCCGCGCTGCCCGTCGCGCTGCCTCGCAGCCCCGCGCACCGCCCGCTGTGCCCCGAGCCGCCCGTCGATCTGCTGCGCAGCCCCGCGACCCGCCCGCCCTGCCCCGCGCTGCTCGTCGCTCGGCTCTGCAGCCCCGCGCGCCGCCCGCTCTGCCCCGCGCAGCCCGTCGAGCTGCCTTGCAGCCCCGCGCGCCGCCCGCTTTGCCCCACGCCGTCCGTCGCGCTGCCCGCCCGCCCGCCGTGCTGCCCGCTTGCGGAGTCGCCCGCCTGTCGCGCTGCCCGCCTGCAGCGCCGCCTGCCTGCCGCGCTGCCCACTTGCAGAGCCGCCCGTCCGCCGCGCTGCCCGCTTGCAGCGCCGCCTGCTGCTCCCTGCCCGTGCGCAATTGCCCGCCCCTGCTGTGGTAGCTTGCGTTGCTCTGCCGTACTGTCGTTATGGCTTACATCCGCGTGCTTTCGTTCGATGCTGAGGGCCGCCCTGTGCAGTTCACCACTTGGCTAGATGACCTGCAGCTGTTCCTCCTGAGCGATAGCAAGGAGCATGTGTCGCTCTATGATTACGCGTCTGGTGCTGCACCTGCCCCTCCTGCCACAGCAGAGCTTAGTGTTCGTTCCCACTGGCAGACTCGTGACGCAGCTGCTCGCCTAGCCATTCGCAGTCACCTGCCGTTAGCTGAGCTCGAGCATTTTGGCGACTGCAAAACCGCTAAGGCCCTGTACGACGCTGTCGTTGCCCGCTATTCCTCACCTGCCACAGCCGAGCTTAGCCGCCGTATGCTGCCTTACCTGTTCCCTGAGCTGTCCACCTTTGCTACAGTCGCCGATCTTATCACCCACCTTCGCACTAGTGACGCTCGCCTGCGTGCCGCCCTTCCCACCGAGTTCTGCGCTAAGAACCCCCCTCCACTGTACTGGACACTCCACTTTCTAGTCACCCGTCTCCCTGACACCCTTAGCTCAGTGCGCGACTATTTCCTTGCTCGCTGTCCCACTGAGCTCACTGTCGCCCTCCTAGAGGAGAAACTGCTAGCAGCCGAGAAGAGCATTGTAGCTGTAGGTGCTGCTCGTGGCGCTCCTCGCACCCCCATCTTTGAGGGGTGTTCTCCCTCTCCCCTCGCTCCCTCCTACGCTACTGCTGCTGCTGTTGACTTCCTTGGTGCTGAGTCTGCTGGCGCTGCTTCTGCTCCTGGTGGGAGGCGCCGCACCGGCAAGGGCAAGGGGGGCAAGGGTGGCGGGGGTGGCGCTGGGGGGGGAGGAGGTGGGGGAGGTGGGGGGGGAGGCGGTGCTGGAGGGAGCGGTGGCGGGAGTGCTGGTGGGAGTGGGGTCGGCAGCGGAGGCGGGGGCGGCGGAGGGAGCGGCGGTGGAGGGAGCGGTGGCGGTGGTGGCGGCGGCGGCGGTGGCGGCGGCGGCGGCGGTGGCGGTGGCGGCGGTGGCGGTCGGAGCGGAGGTAGTGGTGGTGGCGGAGGTCGGAGTGGAGGCACTGGCTCGGGCCAGAGCTCCCACCAGCAGCAGCGTCCCCAGACGACCCAGCAGCTTCGTGAGTGGCTTGCTCAGCGTGGGACGTCGGGGGGCAGTGGCCGCTGTTCCTATGTCATTCGCACAGGTGACCGCAAGGGACAGACGTGTGGGAGGTTCCACACCCCGTACCGCTGC